ACAGACAGAAAGACACACAAACAGACACACAAATAGACACACAAACAGACAGACACACACACACACACACACACACACACACACACACATAAACAGACACACACACAAACAGACAGACACACACACACACACACACACACACAAAAATAGATAGACAGACAGACAGACAAACAGACAGACAGACAAACAAACAGGCAGACAGATACACATGGACAGACACACACACAAACAAACAGACACACAAACACACACACACACACACACACACACACACACACACACACAAACAGACAGACAGACAAACAGACAGACAGACAAGCAGACAGACAGACACACATAGACAAACACACACACAAACAAACAGACACACACACACACACACACACAAACAGACAGACAGACAGACACACACACAAACAGACAGACAAACACACATAGACAGACACACACACAAACAGACACACACACACACACACACACACACACACACTCACACACACACACACACAAACAGACAGCCAGCCCCCATTCCACCGAAATTAGCAGATTCAAAATCAAAACATGGTCAATGTAGCAAGTTCAAGCAACCCCTGTAACAGACAACGAAAGCCCTTGAGTTCGGACAGCCCAACAACGCAACAGTCACGGAGGACCACATTGCTGAGTCTGCTGCTATCTGAGTGCGTAAGCAGACTCTCTGTCTCTCTCTCTGTCTCTCTCTCTGTCTCTGTCTCTTTCTCTCTCTCTCTCTCTCTCTCTCTCTCTCTCTCTCTCTCTCTCTCTCTCTCTGTATCTCTCTCTCCGCAGCAGGCTCCGTCCTCCTCTTCTTCCTTTGCAGTGGTGCACTCTCACGAGAGTGATCATCTGACTCCTCTCCTGCTGCTGCCACTTCGTGTCGTTTCTCTTTTCGTGGCCGCCCTCTCGGACGACCTGAGCCTCGCGCAACCCCCTGAGCCTGCCCTCTCCCACGTCCAACAACCGACCTCCCTCGTCCTGGAGGAGCACGATAGGCAAGGGGATCCCATACACGACCGGGATGCGCTCCATGCCACCCAAGGAGAGGCGACTGCTGACTGGAACCGTAAAATCCTCGCACCTCGCTGCGACCCTGCTCGCCCTCTGCCTCACCCTCCTCGTGCACATCTCTGGCCGACTGCACTGCGGTCTCGTGCTGGTCTGTGGGATCCACCCTTTGCTGCTCCTCCCTCTGCTGCTGCTGCTCTCATCCCTCTCATGCTGCTACTGCTCCTTCTCCCTCTCATGCTGCTGCTGCTCCTTCTCCCTCTCATGCTGCTGCTGCTCCTTCTCCTTCTCATGCTGCTGCTGCTGCTGCTCCTGCTGCTGCTCCTGCTGTTGCTCTTGCTGCAGCTCCTGCTGCTGCTCTTGCTGCTGCTCCTGCTTCTGCTCCTCTGCAAGCTGCTCATCCTCGTCGTGCAGCTCCCGTGGCTCGGGCCACCCCTTCCGCTCCTCAACCTGCTCCTGCTGCTCATCCTCCTCCTGTCTCACCGGATGAAACGACTGAACATGTGCACACGCCTCTCGCAAGGGATCCTCCCCCTGCTGCCCCTCTGGCTGCACCCTAGTCTGGGACCTCAATCCAGATCGTGTGCCTTGGACATAGGGTACAATGCCCTCTCTCCTCGTCCACGATCTGCCTGAGTCCGATCTCTCGTCCACCCACTCCTCGTCGGGGACATCGTCCTCATCGGCCTCATCCTCATCCCCACCCTCCTCCACTTGCACTAACCTCTTCGCCGATCTCGATGTGGACGGCGCAGCGGGATCCTGGCGAATGTTGGTGCTGCCAACCGCGGAAGCAGTACCCTCACCAGCGGCCTCAATGTCGTCAACTGCCTCTGTGACATTTGCCATGTCACCCCCCAAGTCCTCGTCCTCCCAGTCAGTTGCGAGCCCCAACCACCCTCCTGCAACAGTGGGCCCATCCTCCCCCCTACTCTTGAGCCTCAAGCTCCAGTGCGAGGCCACCAATTTCTCGGTGCGCTGGTGGTGCAACTTGTTCCTGGACTTCGTCTGCACTAGAGCCCAAGTGCTCTAGTTCCTCTCAGCCGGAGAGGAAGTCGTCCAAATGGAGAGCACCTTCAGCGCCAGATCCCAGATCTCTGGATGCCCTTCACCATGCGCCTCCCACCACAGCACCGCATTGTCCTCCTCAGCTCGTTTCTTTGCCTGCGGGGTGCCGAAGAATCCTCTCCCAAACTGGAACTCGTACAACTGGTCCATGTAGTCGTCAAATCTCGAGCTCCCCTTCTCCCCGATGAGCCGCTCCACGACGCTCTCGAATTGTGCCATGAGGTCGACATTACTGAAAACAGTAATGTCCCTCAACATAGGATCCAACAGCCGAGCAACGGCGTGGATGGGGCTGAGCAACATGTCGGTCCTCTTGCCAACATCCCTCAGAAGGTCCTCTCACTGGTCCGCGGTGAGGGGGATCGAGCGAACAAAGCCGTGCAGCCGACACGCCATATCATAGATGCGTAACCAGCAGTGGACATCTTTGTCCACCTCTCGCAACACATTATAAGGCCCCTTCATGACGACAGTCAGCTTCTTGACATCAGCCCAGAATGCTTTGTCAAGAACTGTCTCCTCCACGAAGTCGGCTTTCGCCCTGATATCCCCTCGCCACAGCATGGTCTCCCAGCCGTGTCCGGTGACGACACGCACAATGGCCCTCTCGCACACCTCAAGTCGCTGCAGCATCACATAGCTCGTCCCGAACTTGGTCTGAGCAGGCCGAAGGAGGCAGGTGCAATCCAAGTCGGGGTACTTCAACAGTTGTGTCCTCAACTGCGGCTGAGGCCACCTGTGAACCCGAAACAAGTTCACCACTTTGTTGGCCTTGGTGATGATGACATCCGCCCACTCCTTCTTGCCTATATCGTGCATGAGGAGGTCCATGCAATGAGCTGTGCAAGGGATCCAATAGATCTGCCTGAACTCGGGGTCCTCCCTCAACATCCTCGCGGCACTCAAATTCCCGGTGAAAGAGTCAGTGCATATTGCCGTGATCTTCTCCACCCGCCACTCTCTGAAGAAACGCTTCCACCCGACAACCACAGCTGCAGAGTCCTTGTCTCCCTCGCTCACATCCTTGCACTTCACGAAAACAGGCTTCGACCGGCCTGCAAGGATGTAGTTCATAAGTGATCGCCCACAGATGTTTGTGGTGCCATCAGTTATGAACGTGCATCCAGTCACCTGCCAGTCGTCACGGACCGTCTGCTCCTCATCCACCAACCTCTTGTTCAAACGATCGAGTAGGCGACACCTGAGGGGGTTGTACCCAGTGGGCATGAGAGGGTGACTCCCCACAGGCTGTGGCCCGATACACGTCAGCATGATCTTCTTGAAGCTCCTTCTTATGGCGGCATTGAACGGGATTGCATTCTCCATGAAGAACTCGCAGCAGGAGTCATCTATGTCCTCCTGGCTCGGGTTCTTCGCAAACCTCCTGATGCTCGTCTGCTTCACCGGGCCACGTGTGCGCGCCCCCTGCACCACAGCCCTCGAGGAACCAGCCCTCCCTGCAGTAGCGAGGCCACCTGTCACAACACCCCTCGTCCCCTCATCCTCAGCGATGTCAACCTCCCCGGTGTCCCCCCAGGTGCCTCCCCGGGATCCTCAGCAATCCCGCCTTCGCCCCCTTCTCCTCCACCCGCAACAGGAGTGTCCTCCTCGTCGCTCTTCTCCATCTCCAACACGCGCTGCACCCTCTCATGCAGGTCGGGTGGCAGCTATACACCGATGCCATGCAGCCTCCTCCAAATGGACAGGTTTGAATGTGGACACCTGGCAGACGCCCTCGCCGAAATGCAGTGCTCCCACGCATGCTTCCGATTCCCGGAGTACTCCTTGTTGCAGAGTTTGCACGTGCAGAGTTTGCACCGCAGTCTTCTCGACCCACGAGCATTGCCCGGCAGCATCTGGCCAGGAGTGACCCAAGTCCACACGACATGGTCCCTGTTGCAGGTCATGTCCTCCCRGAACGGGGCCCGTTCCTCCCCTGCCATGACACCGGTGATGCTGCTGAGTCAGTGCAAACGAGTTGCTGAAGTTGCAAGTGCGGACATGGCAGATAGCGACGTGGGAGCTGGCGTCGTGGCAAGTGTCGTGACAGTTGCGGACGTGGTAGATGCTAACGCGGCTGCTGCTGAAGCGGTTGCTCCTCACTTGGTGGTCAGTGACGACGGTAGACGCTTACGACGCACCTGCGAGAAAAAGGAGAAGAAGACGTCAATTTTGAGGGAGAAAAAAAAGGAAAAAAAAGCAAAGGAGGAGGAGGACGAGGGAAGGGGAAGGAGGAGGCCATCGAGGAGGAGGAGAGGAAGAAGAAGAAGAAAAAGAAGAAGAACTGTGTGTTTGTGTGTGTGTGTGTGAGAGAGAGAGACCGGGGGAGGACTAGGACAGAGAGGGGGAGAACGAGGGAGGGGGAGGAAGAAGAAGAAGAAGAAAGGTGTGTGTGTGTGTGTGTGTGTGTG